ATGTCGTGATGGCCATGGCCCACCTTTGGAGCCTTCGCTTGTGGCGGCGATGTGCGGAAATCTTGGCGGTCTCGGGAGCCATCTTGACACAGGCTGGCTCACAGGGCGAGTTCGGGCCCAACCCGGGTCTGAAGTCATTGGACATCATTCTGCGTCTCACCGGTTTTGCGAAGGCCTCTGGTGCCGGGGAGAGTTTCCTGGGGCGCCCCTGCCGTCACGCGCCACGCCCGAGCACATCCATCATGTTTGGGCCTGCGCCCTCCAAGAAGTATCGAGACCCTGCGCCGACCGCGACGGCAGGGCGCAGCAGCTGGGCGAGGGCTCGCGCGCGCGGGGCGCGCGAGGCACACCAGGCACACAGGCGGGCGCGTGCGAGAATGAAGAGTGGGAGAGAAAGAGAGGCTGACGATGGGGACGATGAGGGTGACGATGAGAAGGCAACGGCTTCGACGCGAACGAAGTTCACGGTGATGATGGTGACGATGATGACGGTCATGAGGCAAATCCGGGGATGACGGTGAGGATGGGGATGACGGTGATGACGGTGATGACGGTAAAGATGATGATTGTGATGATTATGATGGAGGTGAGGTTGAGGATCGAGAAAAGGATGAAGATGAGAAGAGAAGGGGCCACAGACTTGCATGCATGCAGTCCTGACCATCGCACGCGAAAGGACTGACTTGGCACAATTGGCTCAAAGGCGATCGCACCTGCTCGCTCATTCTCTCCTTCCGCCAAATCCCCCTCCCCCCTCTGCGTCCCGGTCTTCTCCCTTCTCGCCGTTCTTAGCTCTCCGATTCCTTCTCCCCGCGCTCCTCCATCCGCCACGGTGGAGAATACATCCGGACGAATACGTGTCTTGGGCCCCGGTGTTTTCCTGTAGGATCCCCTCCTTTCATGCCGAGTCGTCTTGTTGCCGGTCCCGGGTGTCCGTGTGCGTAGGGCCCCGGGGGCCCGAACGCGGCGAAGCAAGGCCTGGAGTCCTCCGGGACCCGCTGCCTTCTCAGGCGGATGGCAATGGGGGGTGACCTACATGGGGGGTGATGCGAAGATGTTGCAAGCCATGCCGGTGGCGACACCTGCATCTCTCTACCTCTAACCTCACTGTGCCCTGCCCTCAAGGCGCACGCGTCTCTGGGGGGCATCCCGACTCCTAGTGCGGGCTTTGTCTCCCAGGGGTGGGCACACGCAGATAGGCTCTCAGGCACACTCACCGGACTTAATTACCCCTCTCACAGGTGAAAAGAAGGGCCTTGAAGGGGCACTTCAGGGTCCCTTTCGGGACCATCAGGGGCCCAAAGAGGCCTTAGACGGCCCCTTAACGGCCCTTGTCTTTCCCCCCCGTTTTCGGTCACGCCCCACTACCACCCGCCCGACCCTCCTCCGAAGTATAGATCCGCACGAGGGTCTCAAAGATCCATCGCACCCCGGCCGCAACGGCGCCCTTCTCTCTGGAGCGGCGGCGCTGGGACGCGAAGACAACCGTGCATCTCAGGACCTCGGTTCCCCTCGTGCCAGCTTGTCAGAGCGCCACTTCGAGAGCTGGTGTTCATCATCGGCGCAGGTATCGGGGCGGCAAAGATGGGGGTGATGACCAGGGGGGGAGTCATGGTGGGGGCCATGATATCTCCCCAGATTTCATGGCGCCTCTTCTTATTTCATTACGTCCCTGGCCCCCCCGCTGGGCCGCGCACGTGCTTCCAGTCATGATTTGCACCCCCCCTTCTATGACACCCCCTCTTGACCGCTCCCGATGGGATGATTTCTGTTGTAGTAACTAAACCAACTTGTACAACCCGGCATCAGCCTTCACAGTTCCGTTGAACCCCCTGGTTCAATCTGCGTAATCCCCAGGCCCACTCCAGGCTGCTCCAGCTCAGTGTTCGGTCCCTCAATCGGGCCTCAATCGGACTTCGTTAGTCAGTAGTGTCTCTTGCGACGCATTTTTGAGTGGGCGGCTTTGCGGGCAGAATTCCAGAGCACTCACCAGTGTGGCCACAAGCACCTTTCCCGAGCGAGGGACGCATAGGGACCGGAATCGAATAACAACATTGAGCCAGTTCCACTCCCGACTCCCGAGAGAGGATCGCATAGGGATAGGAATGTAAAAAGCCGTCAAGACTCCCTCACGGTCAAGCCCGTGTAGGGATCGCGTCCCTCCAGGATACGGCCACGACAAAAGGCGCCGGGTCTTGTGAGCAGGCATTCCCTGACGCAAAAGGCCATCGCAGTCTCGACGCAATCTTTAGGCTCGGGATCGGGCGAGAAGGCCCCGCACGCACGACGTACAGCATACCCCGCACGTTCCTCCACGCCATGCTCACGCAGGGGAAACAGCGGGTTGGGCTGGGAGGGCGCGGTGTCGGGCACGCTGGCCGCCTTTGAGGTCGCATTCCGTGAAACGTCTGGTTGGCCCTCTCCTCTGAGTAAATTCCTGGGCTTTGCAGTGGAAACCCGTGCCACGACACTTTGTAACGTTTCACGTCAGCGGCGAGGCAGGGGTCGTCTGCGCCAGCGGGGTGGCCTAAACGGGGCATCGTTGAAACGACTTGTACCACCATGCGGTAGGGAGCTGCTCCTTCTGCACGCGAACCAGGCTGACTCTGGCCTCGGTCCACACGATCCAGAGCTAGAAGGCGCACCGGCCTGCCAGGATGTTGTAGCACGGCTGCAGGATCTGCATGTTGTACTTGGTGATGCGAAAAGACATATGACGAATATGATGATGATGATGATGATGATGATGATGATGATGATGATGATGATGATGATGATGATGATGATGATGATGATGATGATGATGATGATGATGATGATGATGATGATGATGATGATGATGATGATCACCCCAATCAGCTTGAGAAACACCCGCGGGAGGGAGGGGAAGAGCGGAGGACGCGGCCGAAAGAGGGGGCGGAGGGAGCGAGCCGCTCAGGGGGACGGGCCGCGCCCCGAGCGAGCGGCGCGGCGGCCAACCCCGCCGCCGGGCCCGCGGCGGGTGCCGTGCCAAGGAAAACCCTGCCTGCCTCCTCCTCCTCTTCCTCCTCCTCTTCCTCTTCCTCCGCCTCCGCCTCCTCCTCCTCCTCCTCCTCCAGGGTGCCTCGCGTGCCTCCTGGGTGCACGCTCCCGCACCAAACATCAATGGACGTCCTGGGGTCTGAGGGTCGGGTTTCTGGTGGAAGGTTTCTTGTGGTCGAGCTCCTACTGCAGCCTCCCCCCCTCTGGAAATCGCCGCACCCCAACCAGGACAGGTCTCCTGCTCAGCATCACCGAGGTGGGCAGCAAACTTCACGAGCCTGGCACTGGTACACTCGCAGCACTGCCACTGACCTCCGTCAAGCTGCTTAATCCGATGCCCAGGCCCACGCGCACTGACCACGCTTGAGCGGAGAATCCGTTCCCCTCTCCGGGACCGACCGCCCGGGGCAGGGAGGGACGTGGTGGCCGTGTTGCGGTTGTTGCTAGAAGTCCTATTGTGAAATTGATCACATTTTGGGGGAGCCTCCCAGATGGGGTCGGAGTAGATGAGGTTGGAGGAGCGTGCCGCATCGATGGCCCATTTTTCTCCCCGCCGACGTCGCCGATGCAGCGCCGACGTCGCAAGTGCATGGCCGATGCATCAGCGATGCATCGGAGATGCATTGGCGATGCGGCGAAATCCTCCGACCCCGTCTACCCGGACCCCATCCAGGAGGCCTATCATATTTGAGCACCCGTCTTGTAGCATACAGGCGATCCTCGCTTGCCCAACTTGCCAGCGCGGATGGGCATGGGGCTCGACCCCTTGCCCCGCAACGTTTTTTTGTCCGCCGCCTTCTTCACGAGGTAGTGCTGGACCCCAGTGGGCCCCAGGGCCGCCGCTGTGGAACAGGGAGCAGTCATGTGGGACTTCATCTTGATCACGGGCAGATGCTCTCCTGGCACCAAGTCTTGGTCATCTTCCCAGGACCTTTTTGTTCTGATCGTTCCACGAGGCCAGCTTTTCATCATGCGCATCCCGAAGCCTGGCCAATCCGCACCCCCTTTACACAGGGATGCTTCAGACCGTACAGGCACGAGAGGCAATTGTGCAGCCTCACATGTGACCGCTGCCGTGGAACGTCGCTTTCCCTGGAACTGTTTCGCGGAGGGGCAGTGAATCGGCGATCGACGGTCGATCCGTACCCTTTCTGCTGCACCCCGCTCTTGGCGCCAGGAGCATCAGGGCATGTACAAAATCGTGGCTCCTGAGGCCAGCGAAATCTACACAAATTGATCCCTACCGCCGCTCTGGCGCTCGGCAGGGGTCGGGGCTTGAGCAGGGCCATGGGTACATGTCGAGTCAGAGCCCCGAGTCACCGGGCCTGGGGGCAGTTGGGGGTAGCTGCGGGTTCGCGCCTCGTGGGCCCAAACTGGAGTTGCCCCGGACCGCAGTCGTCCCGGATGATTGTTGGACGTCCAACCCTCCCGAATCATGAGGGGTGGGGGGCTTTCAGAGGTAGCTGCGAGTTCGCGCCTCGCGGGCCCAACCCGGAGTTGCCCCGGGCCGCAGTTGCCCCGGATGATTCGGGCGTCCAGGCCGCTCGCCTCGTCAACTCTAGGCTTCCCAGATGGGGTCGGAGGAGCGCGCCGCATCGCCGATGCATCGCCGATGCGGCTCGATGTGGAGCCCGACTTTCATCGCGCTGGCGTCGACGCGGCACTGCCGATGCGTCGCCGATGCATTGCCGATGCGTCGCCTTTTGCGTCGGCGGTGCGGTGGGATCCTCCCACCACATCTACTAGGGCCCCATCCCGAAGGCCTCTGCAGTGGAAACCCATGTTAAGAAACACCACGCTTGCCTCCGGGGTGCCCTGGGTTTCGATGCATTTGCTATGGAAAGCGGGACGCTCCGACACCAAAAATCAGTGGACGTCCTGGGGTCCCAGGGTTGGGTTTCTTGTGGAAGTTCTCTCGTGGTCGGGCTCCTGCTGTAGCGCTGCTCCTCCTCTCCGACCTCCCTCTCGCGGGCCGGGAGGCATCGGCGGCAACCTGGCGTTCGCCCGCTTCGGCGCCGCGCGCCGGGGCTTGGGCGCCTCGGGCGCGGTGCGGGCCCCGGGCGGGGGGTGGGGGGCTCGGCCATCGGAGGCAACGATAGGGGGGGGGGGGTAGGCACAGGGGGGGGGGGGGGGGGGGGGGATCGGCATAGGGCGGGGGGGGGGGGATAGGGGGGGGGGATAGGCGTAGGGGGGACAGGCATCGGGGGATAGGCGCAGGGGGGACAGGCGTAGGGGGGATAGGCGTAGGGGGGATCGGCGTAGGGGGGAATAGGCGCAGGGGGGAGATGCGGGGGGACGGGGGATAGGCATAGGGGGCGATAGGCGCAGGGGGGGAATGCAGGCGTCTCCGTCGGTTCTCGGCGGCCTTTCGGCCTGGGGATGCTCTCCAGCAGCTTCGCCTCGCCGATGCCGCCCTTCGTCCAGGACTTCGGGTCGAGGGCTGGCGTCCACGAGAACGCTCCGGCGCTCGCCTCGCGCCTCGCCATCGCTTGGACGTGTGCTTTTTTCGTTGTCGGAAAAGGAAGGAGGAGAGGGAGGAGGAGGAGGAGGAGGAGGAGGAGGCAAGAGGAGGAGGCGGAAGAGTAGGAGGATGAGGATGAGGATGAGGAGGGAGACGAGGAGGAGGAGTAGGAGGACGCTCCGATCCGCGCCTCGCCATCGCTTGGACGTGTACTTTTCTCGTTGTTGGAAAAGGAAAGAAGGAGGAGGAGGAGGAGGAGGAGGCAAGAGGAGGAGGAGGCGGAAGAGTAGGAGGAAGAGGATGAGGATGAGGAGGGGGACGAGGAGGAGGAGTAGGAGGACGCTCCGGCGCTCGCCTCGCGCGGATCGGAGCGTCGGAGGTTGGGAAGAGGTGTTGTGACCCCAGAAGAGAGGTTCTTTAAAGCAGACCAAGGACGCTGGTCCAACGCTTCCAACCACCGAGCATCTGTTTTCCCTTTGACATGAATGAATTGAGGAGGAGGAGGAGGAGGAGGAGGAGGAGGAGGAGGAGGAGGAGGAGGATATTGACCAGGAGGAGGAGGAAGGAGAAGGAGGAGGCACGAGGAGCAGAAGGAGGATGGAGGAGGAGAGGGAGGATTGGACTGGATTGCCGGCGGAAAGTGGTGAGCTCCAGTTCGGGTGCATGAGACATTCTGCGCGTCTATCGTCTAACACCGCTAAGTGCACTGCAAGACGATGCACGAGGGTGCAGCCGAACGCAGCCCTGACGGCCCATGTGTGAGCCAGGCGATATGCTCAGCATGGTTGGTTACCCAGCGGTCGGCAGAGATGCAGGCGAGTGGTCATTGGGTACGCCGTCCAAGGGCGCTCGGCAGCCCAGCAGGGGTCGGAGGAGTGGCAGGGGGGCATGAGGAGGAGGAGGAGGAGGAGGAGGAGGAGGAGGAGGAGGAGGAGGAGGAGAAGGAGGCTGAGGAGGAGGAGGAGGAGGAGGAGGGGGAGGAGGACAAGCTAGGTGCGCTCGCGTCATATCTGACATCCCACCCCTCCCTCCCATCCCTTACCATGGCGCAGATCCCCTCTCTACTCGCACAGTCGGATGTCGAGCAGGGCAATGATCCCGAAAGGGTACGCGAGGCATTGTAGAGCACGGCGTGGCATGGCGTAGAAGAGCACCACGAAGCGTAGTATCAACCTAGCATTGCATTGCATGCCGTGGCATGGCACGGGAAATGACGCCTGCGCTGCAGCGGGAGCACGAGTCGAAACGAGCGGAAGCGCGGAAATGAGGCCAGCGCTGCAGCGGGAGCACTATTCGGAACGAGCGGAAGCACGCCGGAATCGGCCCGGGAGGCTTCCCGGGCGCCAGAAGCAGAAATTCTGCATTTTCCGAAAAAGAGTGTGTATTGGAATGGCCTTTTTTCGGCGCCGCCTCGGAACTCGATTTTCCGGCGCCGGCCGGAACCGGCTCTGGACCCGGCCCGGGCGCTGGCGCGGGCGCCGGCTCGGGCGTCCAGCCCGGGCGCCGGCTCGGGCGCCAGCCCTGTCGGCCAGGGGGGCCTCCCGGGCGCCGGAAGCAGAAATTCAGCATCTTCAAAAGAAACATGTATATTAGAATGGCCTTTTTTCGGCGCCGCCTCGGAAAACAATTTTCCGGCGCCGGCCGGAACCGGCTCCGGACCCGGCCCGAGCGCCGGCCCGGGCGCCGGCTCGGGCGTGCAGCCCGGGCGCGGGCGGAAATGAGGCCAGCGCTGCAGCGGGAGCACGATTCGGAACGAGCGGGGCCCGAAAATGAGGCAGGCGCCTCAGCGAGAGCAGCATTTTGGAAAAATGTGCAGGCGAAAACCCTTCTCGGGGGAAACCTGTGTGTAAAAAACAATACGCGGGGGGGGGGTCGAATACTCCCAAGCCGTCATCAGGGGAAGAGGGAGAGTAGTATTCATATTGAGTAACTGTGAAGGAGGAGGAGTAGGAGGAGGAGGAGGAGGAGGAGGAGGAGGAGGAGGAGGAGGAGGGTGTGCCCTGTTGCCCAGCCCCAGGTGGACTGTCGCGCAGGACACTTAAAACCCTTCTCTGCCCTCGGGGTCCCGCGGTCAGCACGTTGGCCCGGCACGCCGTATCCCAGCGGTTAAGCGTCCCAGTGGACAGGTGCTGGAGTCGCGGAGGAGGGGAGGAGGAGGAGGAGGAGGAGGAGGAGGAGGAGAGGAGGGGGGAGGAAAGGGGAGGAGGGGAGGAGAGGAGGAGGAGGAGGAGGCGGAGGAGGAGGAGAGAGAAGGGGGGGAGGAGGAGAGGGAGGAGGAGGAGGAGAGAGGACGAGGAGAGGAGGAGGAGGAGGAGGAGGAGAGAGGAGGAGAGGAGGAGGAGGAGGAGGAGGAGGAGGAGGAGGAGAGAGGAGGCGAAGAAGGAGGAGGAGGAGGAGGAGGAGGAGGGTTTTAGTAACGTCAGCCGTGGCGCAGCCCAGATACACCAAAAGCAGGTGGGCGACATTCTTCCGAGGCTGGCAGAGGAAGGCTGCGAGTAACAGCTGAACGGTGACAAGCTGCACTGAGCGCACAGAGCGCAGGCGGCCGATTCGAACACAGAAGCCAATGCTCCCTGCAGTGGAAGGGTCCAACTCAGGAGAGAAGCGGCGTCCCGTAGTGGCACGGGCCAGCACTCTTTTCTGGGAGAGGAGGCAGTCGGATCCCGAGCAAGACTCGTTGTGTGGCACATCACCTGCGGCCGCCGCCAAGAGACGCCAGGCGGATGATGTTCAGCGCAACTGTACACCGTCGGGGATCTCTTTGTCGGGGGGCTCGCACGGGGCCGGTCTGTGCCTTCGGGCGCTTCGTCCCCCGCAACGACCAGCTCAGGATCAGCCCACGGTCCTACATTCACAGCGCAACTGCATGGCTTAGGGTGGAGGCCGCGGCACAAACGATTCCGAGAGTGCCTCCTCCCCGGGGCCCCCGTGGAAGGCAGGTGAGGACATTCCGGACGGAGACCTCCGACCTGTCCACTCATGGTGTCATATTTGCACCAGCGGCAGACAACAACAGAAAGAAGCAGGAGGAGCAGGAGGATGAGGAGGCACAGGAGGAGGAGGAGAAGGAGGACGAGGAGGAGGAGGAGTATGAGGCGGAGGAGATAAGGAGGTGGTGGGCCACTGGCGTCAGCATAAAGCATACTGTGCCCTGACGCGGCCAGGGCAGGAGCATCGATGCCTCCGGTCCCGACCCCGAGCCCCCCCCCGGCGGATGACCGCAGGGAGGGTTCGAGTCCGAGGGGGACCCACGGAAACCCCATGTTCAGCCTAGGACCAAACGTGCGGAGGAAGAGGAGGAGGAGGAGGAGGAGGAGGAGGAGGAGGGGGAGGTGGAGGAGGAGGAGGAGGAGGGGAGGAGGAGGAGGAGGAGGATGGAGGAAGGAGGAAGGAGGAAGGAGGAAGGAGGAAGGAGGATGGACAAAGGACAAAGGACAAAGGACAAAGGACAAAGGACAAAGGAGGAAGGAGGAAGGAGGAAGGAGGAAGGAGGAAGGAGGAGGAGGAGGAAGGAGGAGGAGAAGGAAGGAGGAGGAGGAGGAGGAGGAGGAGGAGGAGGAGGAGGAGGAGGAGAAGGAGAGGGGAGATAGGGAGGGGGAGGGGGATGGCGGGCGGGAGTAGGTGGGAGGAGGGAGAGGGGGAGGATGAGGATGGGGAGGAGGAGGGGGAGGGAGATGGCGGGCGGGAGGGGCATCCCGAGGCGGAGGGGCACCCCATCCAGCGATGCCGGGCCCGGCGGCTTCCCGCCGAGGTGTGTGGCCTGATGGGCTTCGAGCTGGTCTGCCGGCTGCGCAACAGGCAGGTGCGGGAGTTCCGCACCGCCTGGGGCTCGGGGGAGAGGGTGGAGCAATGATCGGTGGCGGACAGAACCCCCAACAGTGACACGTCGATTAGTGAATTGTCCGTTTTCGGTTCTCGAGAGGGCGCCGTGGCCGCTATTTTCCAGGCTTGCGCCCGTCAGGTTTGGGCCTCAGGTCGTTTTCACTAAACCACGTTTTACTAAAGGGGGGTCTGTCCATCCCCGAAATGAGGCGTTAGGAACATTGCGGAATGAGGAGGAGGGGGGGAGGAGGGTATGGACGCTTGAGGCGGAGCAGGAGGATGAGGATGAGGAGGAGGAGGAGTGATAATAACAGCAACACTAATTAGTAGCAAAGCCGAGAATAACCAGTATTCATATTCACATGAGCACGACGGCGAGCACGAAGAACAGGAACACCAGTGATTGTATTGTAAGAGTGATATTGAGAGTATCGAAGACGCCTACGGCGAATCACCGCCGCCCCCTGTCTTTTTTGAAAGCGCCTATGTGGCCGAACGTTGAGGCCAGACCTGCCAAGCTATCGGACCATGTGTTCCCCGAATCGGTTTGGAAAGCCTTCGGGGAACACGTGGGCATCTTGAAGGTCATCTTGGCCGTCTGGAGGCTATTTTGACCCTTTCGGGCCTTCTTGGAGGACGTCTTGGAGGGCTCTTGGGCCGTCTTGGAGGCCATCTTGAGCGTCTTGGAGGCCTCTTATGCCGTCTTGGGGGCCTCTTGGGGCCGTCTTGGGCATCTTGGGAAATCTTTGGGGGCACTTGGGCCGTTTCGGGCCGTCGGAAGGCCGATAAAAAGCAAATGCCACAATCCTTCGAAAACTCATGGGAAGTCAATGATTTTGGCCTTTGCAGGCCTTCCTGGAGGCCCTCTTGGAGGCCTCTTGGGCAGTCTTGGGCCATATTCGGGTTATCTTCGGCTGTTTTGGTGGGCTCCTGGCCCGTCCGACGCCGTCGGAAGCCGTTTGGGGGGCCTCTCTGGGCCGACTTGGGGCCCTCTTGGAATGCTCCAGGGCCGTCTTGGATGCCATCTTGGGCGTCTTAAAAGCCTCCCGGGCCGTCTTGGGGGCCTCTTGGGGCCGTCTTGGGGGTCTTTTGGGCCGTTCTGGGACCACCTTGGAGGCCTCTTGTACGATCTGTGGGTGAACTTTGGGCCGTCTCGGGCCGTCGGAAGGCCGACAAGAAGCAAATGTCAAAATCCTTCTAAAACACGGGAGGAATGCCAGTGTTTTGGACCTTTTTCTGGCCTTCCTGGACGACCTCTTGGAGGCCTCTTGGGCCGTCTTGGGCCAGCTTCGAGCCAACTTCGGCCATCTTGGTGGGTTCCTGGCCCGTCTGACGCCGTTGGGAGCCGTCTTGGGGGCCTCTGGGCCGACTTGGGGCCCTCTGTGGGCGCTTCGGGGCTGTCTTGGAGGCCATCTTGGGCGTCTTGGAGGCCTCTTGGGCCGTCTTCGGGCCCTCTTGGGGCCGTCTTGGGGGCGTCTTGGGCCGTCATGGGGCCATCTTGGAGGCCTCTTGGGCGATCTTGGGGCGACCTTGGGAGCCTCTTGGGCCGTCGGAAAGCCGAAAAGGCGCAAATGCCAAAATCCTTCAAACACTTAAGGAACATCAATGATTTTGGCCCTTTCGGGCCTTCCTGGAGGACGTCTTGGAGGGCTCTTGGGCCGTCTTGGAGGGCTCTTGCGGGCCTCTTGGGTCGTCGTAGACCACCTTGAGGCCATCTTGGGCCGTCTTGGGTGCATCTTGGAGCCATCTTAGCCGTCTTTGAGGCCATCTTGGCTGTCTTGGATGCATCTTGGAGGCCATCTTCGGCCATCTTGGCCGTCTTGGAGGCCATCGTGGGCCAATTTGGGGCAACAAAGGCATTGACAGATGGATTTTCGGGAATCTCCCAGGACCCCGGCGGGACGGGCCGAAGCCCCAGGGGGAGTTCTATTGGAAAGAGAACCAACACCAAAACCGATAGGGTTCAGCACGCCAGGCACCCCTGCGATGAATCGACAGGGGGCGGCGGACTGATGCTAGGCATACGAGGCTGATGATGCAGATGACGAGGAGGAGGATGGTAAGGAGCTCGAGCATGAGGAAATGTAATGGTCGGCAGTCCTGGGAGGCGAGAAGGACATGCCTTGCAGCGAAATAGACATGCCTTGCAGCGAACTAGGAGAAGGGATGATGGGGGGGAGCGACATGGAGGATGGAACTGGTCTCCTCGCGGGCGGCCAGCGTGCGGCGGCACGTCCTAGAGCAAAGCAAGGGGGGTGCTGGCGGGGGAGCCGTGACACGGGTTTCCCCGCTCTTGCTGCTGCTGTTCCTCCTCCGGGAGAGGGAGCGGCGGGGGGGGACACAGGAGGCGAGATGAGGGGAGAGGGAGGGAGGGATACAGGAGGCGAGAGGAGGGGAGAGGAGGGGAGAGGGACACAGGGAGGGGAGGGACGAGGAGTGGGGGGGTGTGGGAAGGGGGGGGGAGAGGGGAGGGGGGGGGGGGGAGGGGAAGGAGGGATGCAGGATGTGCACTGTACCTTGTATCATGCACTGCATCCTGGATCCGATGCTAAAACGACGCGAAGATCGGGACAAAATCGGATCGGGATGACTCGAAGTCTCTGAGAATCGGCTGGTTTGGAGGATGTATTGGGCGCCGCGGCCGCTCCAGAGCGTTCCGGAACGCTCTGAGAGCGCTCCGGAACGCTCTGGAGCGATTTATCCCGATCCTAACCCTCTTTTAGATGCAGGAGGGATGAGAGTGGATGAAATGGAGGAGGGAGTACGTAGGTTGGTAGATCGGTGGCGGGAGAGAGGACGAGGACGAGGGGTGGGGTGGGATGCTCATGACGAGGAGGAGACGGACGATACACGGAGGACGATGAAGGTGCGGAGAGTGGAGGGAGGAGACGTGAGGTGTGCATGCAGGCAGATAGGTCGATATGAACCGGGGGAGGTTGCGAGGTGGGGATGGATGACGAACATTTGGAATGGGGAGGAGCATGAGGAAGAGGAGAATGAGGTGTCTGGAGGAGGAAGCTGCAACGATACCAGACCGAACGTATCAGGGCCCGTCCAAGCAACCATCCAGTGACAAACACCAAGGGGCCCCGTATGCCCTGATGGCCAGCTTGGCCAAACCCTGACGGATACATCGCTCCTGGCGCCAATCGATATCGACGAGCTCGTAATTGGATGGCCTTCGGCCCATCCCACCAGAGTGCCTGGGTTGTGGGTCTGAGACTTCGTGGACGCTCGTTCGGATCTGGTGCGAGGCCTCTGGCGGCCTCATGGATGCTTGGAGGCCTTTGGGCGGCGCCTCTTCGGGCCTCTTCGGTGCCTCTGGGGGCCTATTGGGTGCCCCTTGGAGCCTCCTGGGGTTATGTTGCGACGGACGGCTCGAAGTTTCGCCTCGTGGGCCCGCTGTTGCGCCCCTCGTGGGGCCATCTTGGGGAACTGTTGGGCGGTCTTCGGCGCCTCTTGGGCCATCGCGGGGCCCTCTTAGACCGCCGTGGGGGCCTCCTGGGGGCCTCTTGGGCGCTTGGGGGTCTCTTGGGCTGACAGGCGTCTTGGGACGATCTTTGGTCGACTCAAGGACTTCGTGGACCGTCTTGGAGGGCCTCTTGGGGCCTCCTCTTGGCCCGTCTTGGGGCTCTCTTGGGCCCAGGAGAGTCATACGACAAGCCGCGGAAGGCCCCTGACAAGCCGCGAGAAGCCCCGATCGGTTTGGCAATTCGGGTTCTGGGCCCTTGAGAGACTCCTCAGGAGGGAGGGTTGGGGCTTGGAGGATTAGGGAACGGACCTGAGGGCACGCCCACTCCGTGCCCAGAGGCACGGTGGCTCATATTCAAACATGTCTGCAAGGTGGGCGCCCGAGTGCCAGTCACGAGACATACCGCTTCCACTCTTAAGGCTCTGCGTCCACACGGCATCGGCCTTCCCTTGCTACTTACTCGCCGCAGAGCAGGGACGATTGCTCGCCCTCTCCCAGCTCTCGGCGAGGTACCTGCGCGCACGGCCCCAGGCACGGTAGAGTCCTATGACATTCCCAATGGGTTGACATCTTCCCACCGCCTTGACAGACGCGTCAGAACCGATGTATCGAGTTGGGCAGGCACCAACATGGAGATCTCCATTACCTGGAAACCTTGCACAGAACACTACCACTGGAGCCGAGATCATGCCACACGTGATTCATGTGAAACCATCAGTGCCAACATCCGAGCGCAATGTACATGGGTTCGGCAGTATGATCAATGTTTGGGGATCCAAGGGGGGGAGTTCAGGAGAGGGTTCAACATCCACGGCTTGGGTAGGCAGAATCGGCGACTGCACCGCTCTCCCAAAACCACTGAGTTTGTCCTCCCCTGCGCTCAAGAGTGACCTGGGGTCGCTGACCACACAGCCGTTGGCCGACAGCGTGGAAGTCGGCTTCCACCACTGCGGCTCCGATGTGGCAATGTGCGCCCTCTTCGCCCTTGGTAAGATAGTAGGTAAACAAGGGGGGACATGGAGGAGAAGGAGGAGGAGGAGGAGGAGGCGGAGGAAGGGGGGACCAGGATGAAGATGGGAGAAGGGGAGCCAGAAAAGGGATGCGGACGAACGAACTCGCGCAAGCTGTGATCGGATAGTCTGTGAGGGGTCTGGAGAGGGATGATGTGAGAGAGGAAGAGTGAAAGGGGGAATCTCTCTTGGCCGACCGCGCGGAGCTCGAGGTGCTGCTCTGCTCTGCATACATGCTGCCGCATGCAGGCCCGCCGACGCTTCAGGTGAGCATCGCCTCGCAGCCTGCCCAATAACAAAAAGACGGGGGACAGCGAGCAGGACGCGTGGCCAGCCATGCCGCTCTCCGTTCCCGAGGTCATGCGGCAGGCATTCGGCATCCTGGTGCTGGGGGTGTTCCTGCCCGGGGTTGGGAACTGGGCCCACGCGGGTGGCCGGGCGACGGACGAAGATGAGGAGGACGAGGAAGACGAGGATGAGAAGGACGAGGACGACGGTGGCGGCGGCGGCCCGGGCGGGTGGCAGGACGAGGAGGACGAGGATGAGAAGGAGAAGGAGGAGGAGCCAGGTGTCAGAGTTGTGCTGGATGAGGGGGGAGGAGGAGGAGGAGGAGGAGGAGGAGGAGGAGGAGGAGGAGGAAGAAGAAGAAGAAGAAAACGAGGAGGAGGAGGAGGAGGAGGAGGGATTTGGCGGGCGGGTGGCAATTGGGCGTGACCTACGTGGGGTGAGGAGCAGGGGGCTCTCTCTCAGGAGCCAGCATCGGCCCAAAAAGGGGGCCTCGAGGGCGGATTTCGTGCCCTTGTCTCGCCCCCCACAGTTAGGTCACGCCCCATTACCACCCCCCGCCCGAGCTTGGCGCGGGAGTGGATTACCAAGCAGTGACGAAGCGTCGTGGCTCGCTCATTGGCCCACCGGAGAGTGTTTTAAGAATTTCTTGAGGTTTGCACGAAACGCTCTTAGAACACTTCTGGCTGACACCGTTTTTATTCGAGACGACGGCTTCTTTGCCTGAGAACAGTGTTTTTGGTATTTGGTCGTTTGTCCTGAGAACATATATCTAGTGGTAGGTATATCGGAATGCCAGGACGGTCGGAATCGTGAAGGCAGGAATCTTGAGGGCATCCAGAGGGGATTGTCCGGTGGGGGTGCTGTCTCGATCTTCCGGGGTTGTCCGAGTGGTTGTCTGGCAAAGGTGGTTGTGGTGCGAGTGTTCGCGTGCTTAGCTTGCAAGATCTCCTGGGTGGCTGGCGCGTGAAAAGTCGGGCATTGTGGGCGTTGCGTATATCTTGCTGTGAAGGCGGTGCTGTTTCTTCTAAGCAGCCTGTCTGCGTGGGCCCTTCCGACCCCCTCTCCCACGAAACGCTTCAGGGCTGCACCAGCCTTGGGACGCTCCACTGCGTGCTGAAGGCACGGTGGCTGCTACAGTGCCGTTTTTAATACATGCTCCGCGTGCGGACCATGTATGAATAATGAAGGGTTGATGAATAAGTACAAGGATGAGTTTATGCATTATTTTATTCATACATAAATCATGTTTTCCAAATCCTGTATTAAGAACATGTTTTTATATTTAAAAAACTGCCCTGTATGTCCTCAAGGCCAGGTGGGTGCGTCGCCGGGATCCCAGGCCCGTGGCCCCGGTGTGGGTCGGGTCGGCGCCTCTGTCGGGGGAGCGTAAGACCCGGGTTTGCCAGGACTCGGGTTCGCCATCGTTTTTTGACGACCGCGACTCGGATTTTGACGAGTAGGAGTTTCGTGGGATGTCTGCAGCGGGAGGCCTCGTCAAAATGCAGGCTCGGCCTCGTCTTTTTTTTGACGACCTCGTCGGGGATTTCCGAGTCCCCTGTGCCCGGGTCTTACGCCCCCCTGACTCTGGTCGTGTGGCGCGTGCGCCCTGGGCGTGGCGCGTGGTGCCCGGCCGGGGGTCTTTGAGGTCGTGGCCCCGGGTCTCCGGTCTCCTGCCGTCCAGTCCAGGAGGAAGTCGGGCCTGTCCCCCTACAGGGGGCTTTCCGACGAGAAAGAGAACATACCCTCAAAAAAAGTTCAAGAATGGTCCAAAACTAGTATGGGGATTATTTTCTGAGTATTGTTTCATCTGTTTGGGGCTTTCCGACGAGAAAGAGGACATACCCTCAAAAAATCCAAAAATGGTCAAAAAAATAGTCTGGGGACTAATTCCTGCGTATTGTTTGACCTTTTTTGGGGGCATTTTTTGTGTATTTTTGATTTTTCGTTGAAGATCCCCCTGTAGGGGGACAGGCCCGACATAAGTCTAGAATGACGGCCTCCGGTCTCCTGTCGCGTCTACCGCAAGGTAGAGTACACTGCATACCACCAACCCGCACCTTGAGGATGGGCCCTGCGTCTTGTTCCTGCGGCCCGGCCTTCGCCGCTTTCGCTGGCCGCGCCCCGTTCGCGAGGTGTCCGCATGGCCTTCCAAGGCACCTGCATCTTCATCGTGCGTCCTTGTTATACGGGTTGACTGCAGTGTGGCACATTGCATCTGATAGTCGGTAATTGTTGCTTTTGCTTGCTCTCTCTTCAGTTCAAGCTGCTCAGGGCCTTCTGCCGCCAACGGTGTAATTATCCTCTCATTTTCTCCTCAGGTGTTGCTTCGTCTTCCCCCTCGCCTTGTGTTGGTGGTACTGATGCGTCGCTGGTATTGCGGCTCGACCGAGGTATAAGATCGAGGACGGTGCGGGAAGGGTATTCACATGTTTTTCGTGGTTGTTGGTTGTTTGGAGGGTACCCTCGAATGTTTTTCGGTTTGACTGGCGGATGTTTCTTCTATCCTAGGTCCGGCCGTAGCAGGAGTAGTAGAACACGGAGTACACATTCTTCTTGGTCTTGGTTTTGGTGCTGGTATTTGCAATCACGGTAAACCCTACTCGTAGAGTCTTGTCGTAGTCTTGGTGCCGGTATTCGTAATCCTAACGGTGGTCATCGGGTTCTTTGTCGTTGCCCGGCGAGTGGATCTGGGCTTGTTACACGAGGAGTAGGATTTGGGTTGCAGTGCGACGTTGCAGGAACATCGCCGGCGTGCCCCAGGCCGACATGGATGCGGGCCCAAGCGAGGAGTGCAGGCCTCCATGCATCGGTTCCCGCCGCACAAGCGGACTCGTCGAGGCAAGGGCGTCCCAAGAAAGACGCCTTGGACACTGCACGCCTGGTGGCTCACAGCCTAGAGGCGTTCCAGGGGTAGCCAGAGTTCGCGCAGCGCGACCTGGGCCACACGGCGACGGCCACAGTGCACAAGCAACGGTACTGGCCGAAGCGACTCGGCAGCATGCTGCCCACCTCGACCTGTCGTGTCGGACACTGGCTTAGGCGCCCGCCCGGACGCGGTTCCCAAACGGGCCCCGCCCAGAACCGAGGCCCGCCCAGAGCAGCCCCAAAAAACGCGCGAGCTACGACGCAGACGCGCGACAGCCGCACGGGCCCACGAACCGCCGCCCGACACATTGCCCAACACTCACCACCCACCAAACCACCCCAACCCAACCCGAAGCCCTCAATTTGCCTTCCATTTCCAGTGGGGGGGGGTCCGGGAACGTTGAAAAAACACATGGTATCCGTACCCCCCCAACCCGAAATTCGGGTCAAATTCGGGT